TGATAGAAACGCCGTGACATCTCCAAGGACTCCGCGAGGTCTCCGTGGAAGCGCAGTCTACTATCACTGCGTTCATGCTGCGATCATGTGCGTCTTCACGGCGTGCGTACGGAGCTCCCACTGCGTTGTTGGAAATCTCACCGAGCTGCTACGGCGATCATACTACGTTTCTACTGCGTTCTTATCAGACGGCGATCACACGGCGCGTACTTTGTGCATGCCCAAAGTGCGCGCCGTCCCCTGGCGTTCTAGGAGACCCTACGCGACCCTACCGCGTTCAGTGGAGATCTCGCCGCGTTGTCACGGCGCTGTAGGAGACTCTACTGCGCTCACCTCGGCGTTTTGCATTTTTTATGGACGCCGTGCGATCGCCGTGAGGACGCAGTCCCGGTGTGACAGGGGTTCATGTGTTGCAATTGCAACGCTTAATGCCATAATTATTGCATTAATAGTTGACATTCTCAACCGCTAATGCTAAATTCCGTAAATTGCCGCTTAATGAAAGAATTATATCATATGCGGTTGAGAATGTCAACTATTAATGCAATAATTTGTGACAATAAGCGTTGCGTTGCAATTTCTATCATTAAGGGGCATTTTATCATTAGCGGTTGCTACACAGCGTGTCCACAACACACGGAAGAACCCGCTGATCCTTTAATTTGGTAACTTAGATGTATGGTCACTTACCACCTCTGTAGCCAGCTTAAATGGTACTTTATACAGCGTGTCCACAACACATGGAAGGAATTGCTGATTCTTTCATTTTGTAACGTAGTCCCATACCACCAAATGTGAGTTTATAAGGTGTATTCACAACACATGGAAGGAACACTCTATCCAGAAATGAGGATCAAACATTTTGGGCGCGGTTGGCGACGATGCTCATCAGTTCTTTTCTTTCTTTTATTGGTTTTGTTTTGGTTTATTTTTTGGTTTGTTTTTGTTTTATTTTAATATGAAATTTGCTTTTAAATCCAATCATTGCTGTACCCTTTGACACATATAAAGTGAGAACCGAAAATGTAAATTTAGGAAGCTCTGTTTTGCGGAATCTTTGCAACATAGCAAAAAATTCCACATAGGGGAATAATTGCTATATATATATATAGCAATTCATCGAAAGGGAGAAGGGAGTCTTTGCTATGGGGGATTTTTTTATCTTCATCACCGGACGCACGGACAGACGCAAATTCATGCATGCGAGCTATTACACTAGACAAAATTGCTAACGCACCACTTGTTATTCTCGTTAGTTAACTGATTTTGCCTGATTGGCACTAGTAAATGCTATATCTCTCCTAGTGACAAATGTCTTGAGGTCACGACAAACACCTAAATTAAATGACCTTCTTGCCCGAAAATAAATCCGACGTGCACTACGCACCGTTTTTGACCAGATAATCAATGGTGGTCAGTGAGGTTGCAACAAAAACAGTCTCCCAGTTAACAAGAAAACAAATAATATCATTTACAGCGATTGTCTATCATATCGCCTAGAAGTTACCAGTGCCTTGCTGTCCATATCTAGTCCACCCAACTTCCGGTTGCTCCAATTTTGTTGAATAATCTTGAAATTGTCGTGCGTTGACTACTTAATGCCGTGGCTATCTATAGAAAACATTTTATATTTGTTACTCTATTTGCAACAATTTTTTCACAAGAAGAAAGAATAATCTTTTATTTGTTGTAATTTTATATAAATTTCTCCAGAGGAACACCCTGCAGACACCATACTGACTGCTTTAGCACGCTCCTCTAGGGTCAAACACCGCATACGGTGCATTTTTTCTGAGTTTTTAATTAGTACAAACATATAGAGAACATAAACCCAAAAACAGATACTTATTGCTCCAAGAAATGTGAGCACGATTTTCATTTTTTTTTCCGTGAAATGGTCATGCTTCACTTAACATTATAGTTATTTATCAGATGAGACATTTAGATGCCCCATTTCTTTACTTTGGTAACATATTTACATATACAAAATACATCATAAACAAGTTTTAAAAAGTCAAAGATTAATTTTCTTTGGTGGTGCCTTGGCAATTTTTTTTCTTTCTAGTGTATATCACTTGAAACTTTGTTGCTGGTCAGATTAAGCAGTACATGTACTTTTTAATTGGGACAGAATCTATATTATACCACAACAAATCTAGGAATTCTTTCACCACAAACAAAGGTAGGAATTCTTTTATGTTTGTAATTTCTTAATTTTGATACCACTTTTTTCTGTCATGATTATTTTTTCCTTTAAAATATTTATTAAGAGGAACATACCAGTATGTGCGAAATTATTTTTCGGTGGTAAACTAGTTATCATAAATTACACCCAAACAGAAAAGGGACTTTTACAATGAAATCAGTTAAAACTTAAATTACTTCACACACAATAAAGGACAAACTGTTTTCTTTTTGCATAATTACCAGGGAATGAAATTGAAAAACAAAGAACAAATTTTAAAAGTTGTATTAAAATACAGTCTAAAAAATAATATCCTTTTCTACCTATGCAAAAAAGTTAATTTCACTGAATTTTAATTTTAATTAAAACAATGCAAAATGACTGTCCCAAGAAATCTTTGGGATCTGCAAGTATGATTTAATTGTCACCCAATATTTGACTTCCATGCAGTTAAATAATAGGTTTATTTGTACATGTAAGTGGTTTTTCAATCGCAAATTAGAAAAAAAATATTTTGAACCTACACTCTTTTTACTCCTAGTACTACAATCGCTAATTTTCATCTTATATATATATCTTATGTATAGATATGTATGAGAAATTTATATATTTACCCACATGAAATAAAGTGCAATTACTGGAGTACTTGAACTTTACTTAAATATAGATCAGGGTCAGTTCTGAAGAATACGGGAAAGTAAGATAGGATATTCCTTATTTATGGTGACCTTCGGTAACTGTACTGAATATTAGAATGTGCAAGTTAGAATGTGATACAGCTGAATTATCCTATAGATATATATACATGTATACAAAACTTGCAATGATTCTATAGAGAAAGGGCATTGTGGTTATTTGCTTACAAGATTACAAGATTTTATTAGTTCAGTTTGGGCCCGCTGAGGAACAAAAAGATTTACAAACAAACTAAAGACAAAAAGGAGGAGGATCCAAATGATAGAACAAACATGATCGTATGATAATGATAAGCAATGCTTAATTGTATTATCACTGATAAATGCATATACAAGAGATATATTGAATAGAGCGTATACATATTGTATGTGTTATAATAATATACATGTATAGTGAAGTAACTAGAGGAATACATATATGTATATCAAGGAACAAAATATATTATATTAATACGTCCCTGAATTTATTCAATTTCTTCAATTAAGGAAGATTATGAAGAAATCTATCAAGTGATCTTAGGATGTCGGGGTCTTCATCAGTCAGGGCCAATAAAATTGATTCACATAAGATAGAGACTGAAAATTTTGACATTTATTATAACAAATTTTAATGAATTCATGTCTTTGTACAGTAAAATGAGGACAAAGAAGAAGAAAATGGATTTCATCCTGAACCTCATTGTGATTACGAACAGAACAAATTCGCTCATCTTTAGCTTACAGGTAGGTGAAAAACTGTCCAGGATTAATATAAAATGTACATGTAACTGATGAAAGTAGGTAGCTGAATAGCGTGTATTGTTTATGAAAATAAAGAACTGAATTAATTAAGCTGAATAAAATAAATCGTTTTCTACGTCTTAAGAAACTTTTGATATACACGTCCACATGTTTCTATCTCCACATGTCCACATGTAACAATACGTCCCTGCTTCCATCGGATAACCCCCCCCCCCCAATCCCTTTTGCATGCACAAAAATATCACTCGAAATATTATCATTGGAAAATAATAGATAATTTGCTGATGTTTGTCGAGTTTTATTTTCAATTTATGTCAATAATGTATTAGTATTTATAAATTGCACTGACATTTCGACTTTTGCACGTACGACTTAATATATAAATACCCATCATTTATTATCAATTTGATAATTATTTTTCAAAAATATTTCATTTATTGCCGTAAATTTAGTCACTGTCGAATATTCCATTTGGAGTGAATATATACGCACTAACGATCGATAACTCCCGTTAGGAATGGGCAGACCTGTCTTTAGTTTGTACCATCTTGTGTTAGCCAGCGGAATCGCTACAGATGACTTTGACCACTGATATACAATTAGAAACACCGCTCAAACAATGTCATTTGTCCTATTTTCCTTCTATGGCCTAGACCTGGCCAAAATAAACTTAACTGACCAATACATGTAATCATGCAATGACTTTAAAATATCATTTAAAAATCCGTTTACAGTTTTAATTCATGTTTTCTGTGGCTTCAGATATAAAGTCACTCAAAAATCCCCATTGATTACATTGAAATACGGCAATGAATTACATCATTGCAAATAAATGATGAATAGATTATCACAGAGACTTTTATCTAAGATTTAGATAAACACAGGTAATAGCCCAAAAAGTTATCATTTTCTGTTATAATCAAATTCAGAAATTTGTAATCTGTGAAGTTCACATCGTTGAAATACTGTTCTTGGCATAATTATGAAAGTCTCGAGGTATAGCCATTTGGACTCCATTGACCATAGTCCGAAGGACTAATAGCATTCGTTCAATTTATATTTAGAAAAACGCTAAAGGTGGCCTAGTGCTATATCAAACAATATTATATAAGACCAACCTGAAAGTCTTCTTGCTCATTTCATATCAGGAACTACTGACTATCAGTATGATTAAGTAATTCTGTCCCATTATACCATAGAAATTTAACTAAAATGGTCTGACACGAACGGAAAGGTAAACTTCATTGTAATTAAATTTCAAAATAAAGCTGATTCATTCATAGATTGCCGATATGTATTTTTAACTGTATTTTTAATTTTATTTTTTCTTCTATGATTTTAGATGATGAAGCATTTGTCCGTCTCTTCTGTTTCCTTAGATGGAGGAATTCGTTGTGCTGCAATTGGCGAAGGAAACATTTTGCTCTCCTGTTTGAAAATATTAAAAAATGCTCATTTCGAAATAGTAACCGTTCTGACGGAGACTCCGTTTATCCGAAACTTTTGTGAAGAATCGGGTATTGAGTGGCAGAACAGAGCAGCAAATCTTGCAGAGATATTAGGTGATATACAAATCCATTATCTTTTTAGTATTTCGAACCCGCGTATTCTGAAGGAAAGTGAACTAAAGCTTCCCCTAAATTTAGCTATCAACTATCATGATTCTCTGCTCCCAGCTTATGCAGGAGTGCATGCAACTAGCTGGGCACTGCTACATGGAGAAACAGAGCATGGAATCAGCTGGCATGTTGTAGAAGCGGGAATTGATACAGGCGATATTCTTAAATTTCAGCGAATTCCGATCGACAAGAAAGAATCGGCGCTCACATTAAATTTAAAATGCCAAGACGCTGGGATACGATGCTTTGAAGAATTAGTATCTGACATAAAAACTGACGACATTACCCGCTGCCCCCAACCTTCGGAAGGAAGATCGTACTTTGGAGTACACGCAATTCCACCGAATCTTGGTGTTCTGTCATTTAACAACGAATTGAAAGATATATTCAATCTTGCCCGATCTCTAGAATTTGGAAATCATGAAAACTCTCTTGGAAGTGCAAAAATTTTTACCTCATCAGGAGAATTTATCATGGTCACAAGTACTGAAGTAGCTTGCAGATTCACAACTGAAGACACTACACCTGGAACAATAATTGATATTGTCGATGACAGCCTAATTGTCAGCACTCTAGGAGAGCCGCTTCTAATGTCAATCGCTAAATTAGATGGGACCACTATCCCCCTGTGCAATTTTAGAAATCATGGCCTAGCAACAGGACTAAGATTAGACAGTAGTTTCTCAGTTGATGCTTCAATATTAGTGCCAGTAAGAAAGCGAGAAGCATTTTGGAAACGCATACTCGAAAGATATGAACCAACCGTTTTCTTCAAGCAACGGATGAATGTTGTTGCTGGCATTATCGATCTTTCCGAGGAGATTCATTTGGAGACAAAAGTAGTGGCACTGCCATCAGGTCAAAATTATGATTCGAGTTTCATAATGATGACTCTTGTTGCCTTTATCGGCAGAACCTGTTGTACCTCAAAGGTAAACGTTGGATTAATAGCGAATAAATCCAATATACCACAAAATGCAGCAAAACTTTACTCGGATATTTGCCCAGCCGTTTTCACGATGGACTTGTCAAGCGATGTCAATGAAGTCATTAAAATTTGTCAGGGAGAACTGGAGAAATATGAAAACTCGATGAGTTTTCTTGTCGATGTATTTTACCGATATCCCCACCTTCGTGAACGCAAACAAACACCACATCACAACATTGTCATTGGAAGGAAGGATGATTCATTTTCAGAAATACTGCATGATTGCAATATCTTATTGTTGCACTCAAAGGACACAAACGAGATTCATGTTATGTACAACAGGAGACCCGCTCAAGACCTCAGTTTTCTTACTGACGTTTTCAAGCACTTTCCGATCTTCCTCCGGTCCATCACGCAAGATTCCTCACAACTCCTTTGTGAAGTATCTCTTATTCCACAGGAAGAAATGAAAATTTTATACCCTCCACCGACGGAAAGTACAAAACAGTTTGGTTCTACCATCATGGACATTTTTGAAAGCTGCAGTGAATGCTACAATTCTAAGATAGCACTGAAAACATCAACTATGTCCATGACGTATTATGAGGCAAGACAAATGGTAGGAAAATTGTCAGTACTTCTTAAAGAGACAGCCCTGAACGGTCGAAAAAGAGTTATTGGTTTGCATCTGCCCAACTCCATCGCCTATGTTATATCAGCATTATCTGTCTTGAAATGTAAGCACATTTTTCTTCCACTCCCTCTGGATTACCCAAAGGATCGCCTAATCTTTACGATGAACGACAGTCAAGCCAAGACAGTCGTAACAACAAAAGAAAGGGTTGACCTCCTCGATTTCAGGGAACTTACAATCCCTCCGAAAATAGTCCAAGCAGGTACAATTGATGGAATAGAGCTTTATTTGGTACAATTTGGTTTTTACGATACTAAGAGCGCCCAAGAGAAGGACAACTTTGAAAATCTAGCATATATTATGTACACATCTGGGTCTACTGGAAAACCAAAAGGCGTGAAAGTAAAGGAAAGTTCGGTTGTCAACCTTGCAAAAGCACAAATCAATCTTTGGGATTGCAATCCCGAGGATGTGATAGGCCAGTTTGCTTCTATAGGTTTTGATGCAACGATTTCAGAAATATTTACATCACTCTTTTCTGGAGCAACTCTCGCCATTCTTAAGGAAAAAGAACGGTTGGGTCAAGAATTTCTACTTTCATTGAACCGGCACAAAATTACAACTATTACCCTTCCACCCTCTCTGCTGAACATTTATAGTCCTAAAGACTTTCCCTATCTTAAGAAAATAGTGACGGCAGGAGAAGCATGCACTCTTTCAACAGCATTTAAATGGGCAGAGAAAGACAAAAGAAGATTTTTTAATGCGTATGGACCAACGGAGACAACCGTCTGTGCAACTTGCTTTGAATTCAATCCTGAAGCAAACCATGAAGATGTCAATTGCGAATTGCCCATCGGAAAGGGCATTTCAGGTGTTGATGTGTATCTTTTTGACGACTACATGAAACCGCTGCCTCCGGGGGTCATTGGAGAAATTTATATTGGAGGGCTTGGTTTAGCCGAGGGCTACCATGGTCATGCAAGTCACTTGACAAAAGAGAAATTTGTCCAACACCCACTAACAAACTCACAATGCATTCTCTATAGAACAGGAGATCATGCTTTACAGGATTCTTCTGGGAACATTACATACGTTGGACGCTTAGATGACATGGTGAAGATACGAGGCCAAAGAGTTGATCTAAACGAAATTGAACAAGTCTTAATACAGCATCCAAAAGTTGATGTTGCCGTAGTTGTTCCTCACAGGTGTGTGAACAACAGTGAATTATCAATAGCAGCTTTTGTTGCTCCCACATTCGTATTTTCCTCAGAGCTTCGAGAATATTTGGTAAAAGTCCTTCCAAAATTCATGATTCCAGCTTTTATCAAAAAGCTTAATATATCTGAATTCCCAAAAACAATTAATGGAAAACTGGACAGGAAAAAACTTGAAAAGGATGAATCCATTCATGAACAAACACAATCCGTTGGACACAGTCACCTCAACGAAACACAACTTTTGATTGCTCAGATCTGGTGTGAAGTTCTGAAGCTGAATCCTTCGTATGCATATTCACAACATAGAAAAAGTTCATTTAGTGAACTTGGAGGAAACTCTCTTCAGTTGGTACTTCTACAGAGGCGGTTAGAAGACTCTTTTGGATTGCTTCTCTCTTTCACTGACATCGGCACTGCAGACACTATAGAAGAGTTTTCAGATGTAATCAAAAGAAAGAAAGATGTTATGAGAAAAAATGAACAAACACAAACACCTGATGATGAAGAACTAAGAAATTTAATAATCAGTGATTCCGAAATGACAAGTGATTTATTTTTGCTACATGCCAGGCGAGGATCGGTTGATATCCCCCATGTATCGGCAACCAACCCTAGGAGTAAACTCAGGTATCCTAAGAACATTTTGATTTCTGGAGTAACAGGTTTCTTGGGAGCTTACTTGTTGTCTGAACTTTTGGAAAAGAGCAATGCGCACATTTGTTGTATGGTTCGTGAAACATCGGAAACAAGAGGAATGGGCAGAATTATGGAAAATTTACGACGATATGACCTTTGGAAATTTGAGTACACCAACAGAATTGCTGTCGTCATATCGGATTTGACACAGCCTCGTCTGGGAATAGCACCAGATATTTATAACTCCTTGTGTAATTCCATAGACGTTGTTTTCATGAATGCTGCAATGATGAATTTCAACACAGATTACCGGGATCATAGAATAGCGAATGTACTTAGCACCAAAGAGTTTATAAAATTTGCCTTGACGGGAGTTCATAAGATGCTATTTACTACATCAACTCTTGGGGTCTTTTTGTTTCCGCCAACACCAGGGCCTAATGAGCCGAAACATCAAATAATGTACGAATGTGATGAGTTCGATGATCCATTCGATATAGCTGGAGGATATGGACAAAGCAAATGGGCGAGTGAGCGACTAGTTTTGCAAGCTTTAGACATATTACCTGGGGGAGCTATCTTCAGACCCGCAAGAATCAGCGGTTGCACAACTGATGGTATAGGACCAAAGAATGACCTTTTTGCTTCCACACTTATCGGTATGAAGAAATTAAGCTGTTATCCTGATATGGACTTTCCATATGACCTTACACCTGTAGACTACGTTGCAAAATCTATCGTAGAAATCTCGCTAAAAATTTGCAATGACCGTCAAAAGAAATACGAGCCTATCTACCATATGTTTAACAAGCAAACTATGCCATTTAACCGGCTGTTTGACGGAGAGAATCTAACGCCATTATCTTTGGAAGAATGGAGAAAAGTTTTAAAATCTGCCTCAGAAGATAATAAGGAACTTATACCATTAACACCTTTCTTCTTGTCTTCATTTTGGGACAGGTCACCATATTGGCCAATATTTGATACTACTAACACAGACAATTTGATTTCAAAGGAAACCAAAGAATTATTGAAACCAAGCGAAGAACTACTTGTGGTGTACAAACGCTATTTTGGTTTGTTAGATTAAATGGACAAATTGAAAAAAACAAAACAAAAACAAAACTAAGAGTCCACTGAGTGTCTTATTTGTTTATGTAAACTTCTGACAAATTATGACTGTTAAATTTTTCTGCACAATAAGTAAAATAGGAAAATTATAATTAAACATCTATCGCATGGTTTTTTCATGATTTAAATGTGCGGGCATTATGCATTGTCAGTGTTCCAGAATAGGAGTGATAGTTGAATTAATAAGTTGACAGGGCCATTTTGTACATGAAGTTAATTTTGCTCTTGACTGAAAAATGACTGATTTTGTGATAAAAAAAAAACTTAAAATGATAAATTTCAAACTCTGAAATAAGGCATGATTATACAGGTGTTATAAAAATAACTCATCGAATTCACGAAGATGTACTTTTAGTGCAGGATAGGCAAAGACATTACCGTCATTCAATGAATAATAGATAACGATGAAATGCACTATGAATTCCATATAATGTATATATGTACATAATTGTATATATGTTAATAATTATTTATATGTATATAATTGTTTTATATATGTACATAATTATATGTATACATAGAGCTGTTTCATTAATTTTCGTGAAAAAAATTTCGTGTTGTGGGGCAAAAAATATAGTTTTGTTTATATGTTATTGATGGAACTGCTACCCCATCCTAGTTTATCATTAGTAAAATATGTTTGAAGTATGTTGAACAACTGATATCGTGATCTGACTCAACATCTAAAATAACAAATATTACAGCGAAAAAATGATGAAACTTCAGTTTTTCACATTGTACATTGTTTTCAAGGATACATGATTATTATTTTCTAGAATTATACTCTAGAATTATACAATCATCAATCACTGTACATAAGCTGAAATATTATCTCGTTTATAATATACTTGATCGTTAATTACTTTAATTAAATAATAAATGGAAAGAGAGAGAGTTGTGTTTTAAATGATATTTGGAGAGGTTTTATTTTGAAAATTAATAAAAATGCACCTGTATATGTTTCAGAGAGAATTGTGCTTCGAGTGACTTTTGTAAACGGTTTTATTTTGGAAAATTTTATTTTAGTGAAAACTATTTATTATACCAAAATTACTTAAGAAAGTCATTTTTGCATGTCCAATCATAGTTTGCAGAATTAAAATTTATTTTTAATGAAGTAAAGTGATTACGAAATATTCACTTTTTGTTTCGCTTTGTTTATATTTTTCCCTGATTGGGTGTTCAGTATTCTCGTTATTTATTAACAAATTTCCTAAAATTAGTTTCAAAAGGCGTGAACCATTTTTTAATGTGTACAACGTGTAGATTCAAGCATATTTGTAATCTTTTTTGTCCCACGACCAAGTCGGAGGGAAGCTATGGATTAAAATCCGATATGATTAGAACATTTTCTATCCCCAAACTACTGAATTGTCTACTTGAAATCAGATACATACATGTATTTGAATTATTATCAGTTCCAAGAAATTATATCAGGTATAAGGTAAAACTTGAATTTAGACACGCAGATTTCAATATCAAGGCAAATATTCTACCTATTAATTCCACATTTTGATTCTTAAGATATTTGACTGGTAAGAGATTTGACTGGTGTTATTAAAGAAGAACAGATTTGAAGTTATTTTTTTTTTCAAAATTTATGGTATAATATCATTTATTACATTTTCAACAGTGAAATACTGTGACTTATTTATTGAATAAAAGTGATACTCTCTCACAGTGTGAAAGGATACCAAAATGATATTCTCTCACAGTGTGAAAGGATATCAAAGTAATTAAAAAAAAATTCTGGCCTGTCATAACATAGAGCTAGTAACTAAACATCTTGATAGAGCTAAAACGGCATATTTCTTCCAATATGTTGCTAAAATCCATGCTATGTAATGTTTTCAATCTCACAACTGCTAAGCTATGACGTCTCAACCGCTCAACTATGACGTCAAGCCTATGACACTGTGTTAAGAAAAGACAGAGGCAAAGGGAAAATCATAGAAAATGTAGTAAACAGTAAATTCAATGTTTTGTAGATGAATATGGAATTTATTTCACTCGTGAGACAGGATTTTTTTTATATTTTCACTCGTGCTTCGCACTCGTGAAAATATCAAAAAATCCTGTCCCACTCGTGAAATAAATTCCATATTCATCTACAAAACATTGAATATCCTCTATGACTTACATGTCGCAAGAGTGTTTCAGACTGATATATATTGTATTAAATAAGCGTGACCACAATACTATGTTAATTTTTGAAGAAACTATCAACCTACATGTATCGAGATCAAGTTTATATGAAGTCTAGGAATGCACAATATAACGTAAACTCCGGTATACAATGTGCATTTTTGTATGATTATCGATGTCAGACTGCAATCACTTAACATGTGGTTTTTATCCTTTACGCACAAATATATCAATTTAACCTTTTATCAGCTAGGTATTGATTTTTGATCTAACCTCTTTAAAGGGGCCTTGACACAGAATTGAAGTTAATATTTTCTCAAATTTTCTGTATAATATCATGATTTATATGTTGCTATAGCTTTTCACACGGAAATATAATAATAAAAGCGTGTTCAGAAACGTCTTTTACCTGGAAATTATTGAAACTACGAATTTCGGGACCCGTTTGATTGACACATCCTTACACTTTCACAAAGTAAACTTTATCCTTAATACTTAAGAAGAGTAGAAATTTTGTTGTGTATTAAAGAAAAATATTAAAACTATAATCCAGAAAATTAGAGTAGAAATATGAGCAAGCAAAACCAACTCACCAGTATTGTCAGTCCATGCTCAGTGATGTGTGCAGAGTTTAACAAATAGAACACACTCGGTGAAACGTTTACAAAAACAGATGTTTGACGTTATGTAAAGAAGAATGATGTTGTCATTGAATTTTAAGAACATTCATGTAAGTTCAATTCATTTAACTAGTTATATTTTTTGAATAAGCATAGAAATTTAAAATGTAAACAATGCAACTGTGTCCAGGCACCTTTAAGGTAATGACGACATCTGTCGAGTGTCTGTCTGACACAATGTCTGTCTGACAATCAGAGGAAATTATTCAATGCATATAATTATTTAATCAAATCAAGAAATAAACATATAAAATATCAACATTACTTAGTCTAATTAAAATTTAAAACAAAAAGTCTGTTTTAAACTGTACAGATTGTGTCTATAGGTTCTGTGTAAGGCACTTTCGGATACATAGTCTGGGGGTGGAAGACACTGTAATTATACTACAAATAAAAAAAATATAGATGTTAAAATACTGTATAAATATATATATTAAAATGAATGGTTGAAATTATGTCGTAAACAAAATACAATATCGATATACTGTAAAGCAACGTTTATATATGTTGGGGATAAGTTATGCTATACATCATGAAATACATAAGTATAGTGTTTACAATTAAATACTAGTGTTGTCACGAGTACCCGGTTAACCGATTAATCATCGAACGATGCGAATATCCGTTAATAAAACTGATAGTCGGTTACTCGGATATGGAGACAAAAATAGAAAAGACCTTATTTTGTTGAAAAATGAATACTTATATTTGTCCCCCATTTTATTTACGGTTATTTAACGTTAGTCTTGATTTCGCGTTTCACAAATACGACCAATTTTTTTGATTACATTACGTTTTCACAGTTTATCTAAATGATTGCTTAGATTTCCAAGAGATATACAAGTTTAGAAGATCTGAGTTATTTATTATAACCTTACTAAACTGTGCTAATTCGCAGTGCATGATTAAACAAAATGGCGACAAAGCTTCCGAAATATTTTAAAAGAATTTAAATCCGTAAGGTGTAAAATATGTGAAATGTAATTAACATACACAGAAACATTACTCTGAAACCAATGATATAATACGAGCGCAAAAACAGCCAAATTTTACGCGATATTCGAGAGAAAAATAATTTTAATTTTGAGCTTTTGCAATTATAAATAAATAAATAAAATACATATACAGTGCAGTTGTGTTTTATACAGGCCAGTATATTAATGATAAACACCTAAATTGTAACCGTTACGACCTTATACTTATATTAAAGTAATATCGAATATACCGCGAGCAAAGATGTTAGAGGTCTAAAGAAAAAAAGCATCCGAGTAACCGGGTACTCGATCGGAAAAGTAAGCAAGTAACTGTTTACTAAAAATCTTCCGATTTGACGACACAATTAAATACAATAGTTTATAAACCGTAAACTAGCATATATACTTGTCAGGGTAAGTTATAAAGTAGATATAGAAAGTTAACAATTAATCAATATAATGTAAGCCAGTATACACAAATTTGTTGGGGGTAGCTTATTGTGAAATCACTAATTTTCGTTGGGGTTTAATTTTCCTTGTTTTCGTGGAATAAGGATACCCTCGAATCATGTCCACCTCGAAGTGTTAACATTGAAATCAAGTCAAAACTACACATCTTCTTCCACGAAATCAAATCCCCACGAACCAATATTTTTTTCCTTAGACCACTATAATTTTACCCAACGAAAATTTGTGATTTTATAGTATACTCTACACAAAGAAATCTAAGAGTACTGTAAACAAGGGAATATAAAATACAGTAATGAAACAACTGAAATCTTAACCCTAGTATTTTTTTCTTTTCTTTTTTATTATATTTATGGTTCTTTTCCCTCAATAATTACGCCTGATGACCAATACTCAGCTATCTATTTTTTCTTGTCAATTTCTGTACTACCCCAACCCACCCTTCGTCTCAAACTGAAATTATTTATATACACGTGTGTCGATAGAGATGGGAGTTCACTAAATCCATTTCATTATCGTTTCAAAATATAGTGTAAAAATGTAATGATTCCCCACCCCTAGCGTCAGTGCTAGGGGGTGGTGAAGAAGGTCAGTTAAATATCCAAACACGAGAGAATTCGCATTGAAAGTCTAGTGGCCTTTAGTAAGAACACCAAACTATTAAATAATTTTTTTAATTGTATTGTCATTTAGATGCTATCATTTTTCCTCATAAATATGTCAAAATTAATCAAGTTGACTAAAATACAAATTAATGTGAATTACCATATTTTTTTCGTGCCCGTAAATGTAGAGATAAGAGTCACTAGCCAGACTATCATTAAACTCTTGGAAAATAGTTGAGTTCTTCCAATCGAAGGCATTAAACTCAGATGCCAATGACGCAAACAGACCCTTCTGATTCTCAGTATTGTGATGAAATCTGTCATACAGCGGTTTACTCAGGCAGTTATACAGTCTTGTACGTGGATAGTGGAATAAGGAGGAAATGCACATTTCTTCACTTGTAGAAAATCCTCCCTGAAAAGCACAAAATTCCAAGATAAATAATTAATTGCAAATACATTATCATGCGATTCTAATGACTGTTTATTAATGACTTCAAAGTTATTGTGATTGATACTTACATATATTATACTTCCTCTAATAACAATACATTCATAATTATGTTAGGTCCCTATAACAGTCATTATGTTACACTTCTTGGAATTACATTATATTAAATAGTTATAGTGTTAAGTTAAATACTTACACATAAATACTTACACAATTCACCTCAATACACTCAGCGTGTTGAATACATAAATATATGTTACACTTCTTATTACAGTGTGCTCTCTTACAATTGTTACAATGCCCCTTATCACAATCATTTTGTTTTAAAATACTTACATTTGCTAAACTTCTTGTAATTAGGGGTTTTTTTTGTGTTAAATACTTACATACGAGAGTTATCAAAAAGTCAATGGAATGGCCCCATAAAACTAAAATGCTTAACATACATCAAAGAATTTTTACACATTTTTAGAAGAAAAATTATACGTTTTATTTTTTAACAAATTGTAAAAGTTTTTGTAAGTAATGATATGACCAAGCGTTCAGTGATTTCTATATATATTATTATATAAAATATCGTAAATTTTATGGAAAATGCTCAGACAAGTAAGGGGTTAAAATAACACCGGAAAAGGGGGGGGGGGGAGTGATGCCTTTTATTACCCCACACTGAATAAAATTTCACCTCGGAAAACGTAGCATAGACCTAGGAATTGTTAAAACAGGCTCGAGGGAAGTAAAATACGTCCAGATTACATGTTTTTAAATGCCGTTAAAGATTCAAAGAGAAGAGAGAAACACATTTAATGCTGATTTGTAGTTCAAGGTCAGTTACATCGAAAGTGACGTTGCTCTTTCGCGGTAGAAATTTATTTCGACAAGGGAGTTAAGTTAACGTTCCCTTTTGCAAATAATTTATCCATTTACAATATTATGCATGAAATTCACTTGTCCATGACTTTGTAAAGTCATAAAAAACAAGTTGGACGTCAATCCTTATTTAACTCCAGGGAATCTCATCAATAACAGTGTACAGAGGCAGACGGAGTGGACATTGAGAAGCAGTGATTGATTGATTATTGTTGTTTTACGCCGAGTCGGCAATATTTCAGCCACATTTCGGCGGGAGAAGCAATGACGTTGTCGAACGATTTCATGAAACTCAACAGCGACAGCGCTGGTTGACCATATAATGTCTTTAAAGTTTTGTATTCAGGATAATTTAACAAATTTTCAACGTATCAAATTAAAATTTTCAAAACATCTAAACTTTTGTTGTTTTATGATCCTTGTAAATTTTGTAAGCACATATATTATCGCACCAGTCCAAACTATTTAATAACCTCTCGGTGTTACAATTCCCCTCATTTCAGTAAATGTGTATAGTACTTTTTACATATTAGACAAAATTGCGAAACAAAACCTTTTCAAAACTTGTTTATGATAAATTTGTTGTAAAAATATCTTATCATAGTTAAAATTAAGACATTTTAATGCCCAAAATTAATCAGTTAATTGTTAAATGAAGCGCAAGATTTTTATAGAAATGTCTGAAAATCGTGCTCACACTTAATGGAGGGATAAATTTCTTTTTCCGTGTTTCGTGTTTTGCGGTATAAATCAAATGTGGATGCTCCAAAACTCAAAAGAAATTTTAGAAAAGTTGAATTCTTTTCGAAAATAGACAGCATGTATGACAAGTACTCTGAGCTTAAAGAGATGCTTTAAGTTTCATTGACAATATGGAGTCTTTGGAAAACAGGTCTTCAACAATTCTGTTGAAATTCCATGGGCATTAACTGTGACCATTCATTAGCTGTCTTTATATGCCCAAGAAGAAGATCCATTCAAAAACTTTCACATGAGAAGAAAATGCACATGATTAGTATTGGAGTGGTGAAACATTGGACAAAGACACATGATTAGTATTGTAGTGATAAAAGTTTGAAAAAGACACTTCAATGATATTTCAGTTATAAAACTGTAGCAAATTTATAATAGTTGATTTTCAGATTCCGGATTGTTATCATGATCATAGCTACCTGTTATTAATTTTCTATTTAGCTGTTTAGTCTTATCTATTTGTAAGCTAGGACAGTTTATTGCTTTTTAATTATAGTGATAATTAGTTAATCACAGGTGGTCATTGTTTAATGTTATGTATTGCCTCCCCACTTAGAGGAGGTAGATTTTTCACTCCCCACATTGTGGAGGCTAGGTAGAGTATTTGGTCATTTGTACAGTTAAAGAGTTGCAGTTGCAGTTGTATAGTGAATTGTTGTAATATCAGACAGAATGGATTTAGACAGGATAGCGGGAGTTTAGGATTTTTATATATTCATCTGGATTATTTTACTATTATTTCTAATGTGAAGTGTGGACTATATATGTGTAAATGTTTTGTGTAGATATGTAAATAAATTAGTGAACTTTTATGCGGACTTCATAGTCATTCAGCACAATACTGAGGAAAGATGAGAATTTAAGTAAAAACCGCTCGGACAGTAAATGTTTATCAACTCAGCAGTTTAAGTTGACTCCCCCGCAGCTCGGCCTGCGCTACAAAACATTGACAAAACACACGATTGGTATTTCAGTGATGGAACATTTGAACAAGACACTTGATTGGTATTGCAGCAATAAAACATTAGAAAAAGGTCGTTGGGGAAAGACATTTGATAGAAGTGTGCATTGTGATAAAACACAGGTTTACTTAATTATATTGTAGTCTTGTGATTAAGAATTAAATAAAGATAGATGTTTGGTATTGTAGTGATGAAATGTAGGGGAAAAAAATTCTAGTGTGACGATTTCTGTGACAAAAACGCCGCAAAAAGACAGATATGTTGGGAGAAAGAAAAAGTTGAATGATACTGAAGAGATTAAGCATTACAGAGAGACAGTTTATTGGCACTGAAATTTCGAATATTTGGATGAAGTTGATTGATAATGTTGTACCAAACGATGGAAGAGACAGGGGATTAATATTGTATCGTGGTGAAAACAAATACAGGTAAACTTCGATATCTCGAACTTGGCGGGACTGAGGAAAAACTTCGAGATATCCGAGTGTTCGAGATATCGAAGTTGATGAATTTGGTGCCGATATTGTTATGTTACATATTCTATTAACAGGAAATTACCCCACCCCCCTTCCACCATGTGCATAATTCAAGCGGTAAATGTTTCAGTTCGTACTTAATGATAATCATTATCTTTTTAAAAATACATTTGCATATACACTTATAATGCATATATTATTTTATTTAATACTGCAACACTTACATTTTACAAATTTCGATCGCTTTCAATAGCGATAATCATGCTGGTTTCAGGATTTCTGATACCCGGATATGTGTTACGCTTTGTAAATGATAAACCGATCACTGTAGTAAGGATTAAGACGGAAACAGGAATTATCGTTCTACAATAATTTATTGAAATTGTCAATATATGCATAAACAAAAGCACTACAATTTACAACATTTATCAACAGATAAAATCGTGTTTATAATGAATGAAAATGAAACGAAGTCTAAGCACTACATCAACAGATAAAAGTGTGTTTATAATGAATGAGTCTCAGCACTACATCTGATAAAAAGTCAGTTGACTTAAAACACCAATAACAATTTCACTGGAAGAAGCACTAGATTCTTATTCACTGGGATTCACGGTCCAAAGCACAGTCATTTGTGAAGAATGAGGTAAGGCAAGTTTGTTGTTTGCAGAATAATCTCTGGTAAACTTCGGCTGCCAGGCGTCTTTCAATCTTCTCAAGTCCTGGGATCAGGTCACCGGTGTTTTCTGACATCTCTATCCACGTTCGTATAACATCAGATGCTTTCTGTACATCAGCGGTCGATGGCTTAACTGGTTGATCTTTCACTTCTTCATCTTCCTCGTCACTTTCTTCATTGTCATTCTTTTTTCTGGCATCAAGGATTGAATCGACGATGGCGACATCACTAACAGCTTCGGATGTGACGACTTCCTGATCAACGCAGGCATAATCTTCAAATGGCACTCGTAGTCTTAGGGAAGCAAGTGGTATGTCGTCTTCTGGATCATCTTCTTCATCACTGTAGGCGTCCGCAGGCTGTTCTCCGGTGTTGATAAAATTGGCATGACGGAAGCAGTTTGCTATCGTTTTTTCTGTGACATTGGCCCAGGCTTTGCTTAAGAGACGTAAGGCATCAAGGACACTAATGATGGTTGGTTCTGTTGTGTGTTCATAAGACTTTAGCTGCTGAAGTATAACAAGCTTACGATAATGCACTTTTAAGTTCTGGATCACGCCCTGGTCCATAGGCTGTGTCTTACTGGTGGTGTTTGGAGGTAAAAAGATCAGCTTAATGGCCTTCAGTCCTGTGACTCTAGGATGGGCAGGGCAATTGTCCACGATCATGGCTACTTTTCTTTTTTGTTGGTTGAATTTTCTGTCTAATGACCGCAGCCAGTTGGAGAACAGCTCTGATGTTATCCAGGCTTTCTTGTTGGCGTCATATTGAGTGGGCAGAGTTTTCACGTTTTTAAAACAACGTGGGTTTTTTGCTTTGCCTATGACAAAAAGCGGCATCTTTTCAGTACCAGTCATGTTGGCGCACACAAGTACAGTTAGCCTGTCCTTGCTGCATTTTCCACCGTGACAGTCCGCACCCTTAAAATCTAATGTTTTGTCGGGTAAAAGGCGGAAAAATAACCCGGTCTCGTCTGCATTAAAGATATCCTTTGGGTTGTATTCGCAAAGGATGTCTTTAATTCAGCGGCCCATTCCGTCATATCGTTGCTTTGCTCATTTACAGATTTAGATTCGCCGCATACTTTTTTGAAAGTGATGCCATGGCGATCTTTAAACCTATCCAACCAACCAGTTGAGCATTTGAATGTTGTTTCGCCTAGCTGAGAAGCGAACTCCTCAGCCTTGGCTTGTAGCAGAGGGCCAGACACGGGCAGATTTCTATCTATATATATAATTGTCGAGTTGAAGGCCACAGCAAGTTGTTTTCATCTTCTATTGTAGAAGTTTTTTGAATAAACTCTGCTTCATATGAAAACAAAGATAGGTCTGCTAATAAGGGGCGCAATTGGTACCCATGAGTACCGTATTCCAACAGATTGTTGGAAGACCTGATCTCCAAAACCTACATAGATATTGTCAATCAGAAACTCAAGCATCTTTTTAATATCAACTTCAGAGTACTTATGTGTACATTCAGAATGCTTTTAACAAACTAATTTTGCAAATGACCAATGACAAGGCAAGTATGTTAACGAGTTCCATTTTTATTGATAAAGCAGCTGCATGTTATGACAAAAAGCCTGGGCTTTAAGTTATCGTGGGGAATGATTGTATAAAGTGTAAAAAAAAAAATAAATAAATAAAAAAAAGTCATACGTGTTGATGTTACTGATTTTGTTAAAATTTTATGATTTCAAATTTTCTAAAAGTTCCTATGAGTTTTTAAGTATCCACATCTGATTAACATTACTTCTCGAATACACTGTTGTACAATACTCCTAAAATTTCTCCTTCACTGCTGTAAATATTTTGGTGAGGAGAAAAGAAAGATGCTTGGTAGAACATTTACTGGAACACGCTATGTATCATGTCAGTGCAAAAAGCAATCCACAATCGGCTTCGGAAAATTGTTTTTTGGGCAAGAAGACCATTTGAGGGTCTTGTTTTGATACCATGTCATCGCAAAAGTCGACCGCATTTCGTAAGATGGCATATTAGACTTATCCATGCCAATTATGCAAATGTTCTGTTTATGTATGAGAAAATTTAGCAGTGAGTTAGCAGTGTATGTTACAGTGATTGTGTTCAATAGGTTACATTTCCTGAATTTTACGTATTGTGTTTAATACTTACGTATGTTACATTGGTTCGTCCAGTGGAGTCATATGTACACTCCAAAATAATTCTGTCGCCCTGAAATGATAGATTAATCAATTTTTTTCTTTTAAAATATACTTTAATTTTCAAAAATGAATTGTAATTTTCAGATTACAGTTGAGAAAATATAGGTATTGAGAAAATTTATATTAAGAAGAAAAGGATTTTTTAATGTTTAAAGATAAAGTATATATCTAAAATATCATTCATAAAATTATCAGGCCTTTGAAAATTGTCAAAATATATACTGATTAAAAAAATTGTAAACATATATTTAAAGAGTATCTTTACATGTTTCAATTCATCATGCATTACAGTAACATTTTTAAATGGGTCTATTATTGATTTAAAAAGTTTGATATATCATATTTCAGGCAAGACCACTCTCCATCTAACTGACAAAAAATATCTTTATTAGCAATATGTTTCATAGATTTTAGCTCATCATTTAAAATGGGATGTGCTTATGATTTCAGAATCTCTTTTTGAAAGCATTGAAGTCATACATACATCTCTCAGTGTTCTGTTTGTTCGTCGGAACTCCTGATAATTAAAGTCATAATGTCTGTCGTCTACTAGCGGTTTTTGCTCCACTCCACCTCGAATTAGCCGTGTTTTTATCGCCTTGCCAAGTAGATGGGCATGTTGCTGGACACCGAAGACACGGACACCGTTTGGAAAATCTTTAAGACCCTGAATTGCAGAGAACAGTGTGTAAGAACAGGAGCCTTAAATATGACACATTATTGGATATTTATTACAACAAGAGGTCCAAGGGATTGACAGTCCCATCCAGAACTGGAACTCTGGACTTATGTGGGATAAAATTTTACAATTTGGAGAGGACTATATGATCATTATTTCCTTGTCTTCAAAGAGGCAGAGACCATTAAATTCACAATATTTGCCCTTTACCATACAGACTGTACAGTGTCTACTAAAATTGGCTTAATTGCTTTAGCCTTCAAGAGAAAATAAAATTGTTCAATATTTTACAGCCCAACCACGACAACGAACGAAAACGGATATAGCTACAAGTCACTGAGTGACTCAGGTCATCTAAAAAAGAATGTAAAAACCAATAGCTCACTTACAATCTGAGGGAAGAAATTCCCAATTAAAAGCTAAAAATGAGACATTATTAAGGTCTTCCGTCTTCACGGAAGACCTTATAGTGATTCTACTGTTTCTTATTAAGGTCTTTCGTCTTCACGGAAGACCTTATAGTGATTCTACTGTTTCTTATTAAGGTCTTTCGTTTCAGACGGAAGACCTTATAGTGATTGTACTGTTTATTATTATTAGGGTCTTCCGTCTTCAGCGAAAGACCCTTCTATTATTCTTCGGTTTCTTTTTTACCTTTATTATTATTAGGGTCTTCCGTCTTCAGCGGAAGACCCTTCTATTATTCTTATGTTTCTTTTTCAAGCTTCTTATTATTATTATTCTTTTTTTCTGCACAAATTTTGTGCAGACGATTTCTCGGAGATGGATTGATGGATTTGCTTCAGATTTTCAGGATTGTTGCTAGGTTATCTGAAGTTAATTCCGGCTAAACAATTTTTTGAAATTTACTTCCGGTCGAAAGTTATCGCCCTTTTATCAAAATTTAGAGGACCTCCTTGTCTGCGATGGAACTCAAAAACGGCTTAAGCTAGAGCGCTGAAATTTTCAGTGATGATAGAGGACATGTTGCCATTTTGCACCTGGGTTTGGATATTTTCCGGAAGTGCCTAGTATGGAAGCTCGGTAGGGGTCGAAATTTAGGACACGAATCATGAGTGAATTTTTGAGACATTTTGTATCATATCTTTTAAAGCATAATTATTTTGTAAAAACATACTGAACAATATTTGTGCAGAATGACAAGCTCTTTGATATGATATCAAGAAAAAAGGGCTGACTTGTCATATTAGGGGCCAAGAGGGGCCAAAAGTACTAAATCAATAACTCTTTAACGATCAATATTTTGGTATACATTACTGAAGCAAAAATGTTTATCTTAACAATTTACAACCATATATTATGATATATACATCATATGTTACATAATTAAGGTCCATAAGGGGCCAGAATACCAAATTTTTGGCATTCTATATCTCGAAAGTGGGAAATATTTTGATAAGCAATATTGAATAAAAGATGTTCAAAATAATGTTCTAAACAATATTTAACCTTTCGATTTTTGCTAAACGTCCCCATTAAGGAGTTGAAGGACTGGCCCCTAAATATATCTTTTGCATATATCTCGGAAACAAAAAAGAATTTCTGAATAGTTGTTGAACAAAAAGTGTTCAAATTTATAAGAGCTTCAAAATGGTATGAAGAAAAAGGGGCTGGCCCCTCAAAATAGGGGCCGAGAGGGGCCAAAAGTCTTTAATCAATAACTTTTTAACGGTCAATATTTTGCAATTCATTACTGAAGCAAAAATGTTTATCTTAAAAATTTACAACTATATATTATGATGTTCACATCACATATAACATAATTAGGGGCCATAAGGGGCCAGAAGGACAAATCTTTGCCACTTTATATCTCGAAATTGGGAAATGTTTTGATAAGCAATATAGAATAAAAGATGTTCAAAATAATGTTCTAAACAATATTTAACCTTTCGATTTTTGCTAAACGTCCCCATTAAGGAGTTCAAGGGCTGGCCCCTAAATATATCTTTTGCATATATCTCGGAAACGAAAAAGAATTTCTGAATAGTTGTTGAACAAAAAGTGTTCAAAATCATAAGAGCTTTAAAATGGTATGAAGAAAAAGGGGCTGGCCCCTCAAAATAGGGGCCGAGAGGGGCCAAAAGTCTTTAATCAATAACTTTTTAACGGTCAATATTTTGCAATTCATTACTGAAGCAAAAATGTTTATCTTAAAAATTTACAACTATATATTATGATGTTCACATCACATATAACATAATTAGGGGCCATAAGGGGCCAGAAGGACAAATCTTTGCCACTTTATATCTCGAAATCGGGAAATTTTTTGATAAGCAATATAGAATAAAAGATGTTCAAAATAATGTTCTAAACAATATTTAACCTTTCGATTTTTGCTAAACGTCCCCATTAAGGAGTTCAAGGGCTGGCCCCTAAATATATCTTTTGCATATATCTCGGAAACAAAAAAGAATTTCTGAATAGTTGTTGAACAAAAAGTGTTCAAAACCATAAGAGCTTTAAAGTGGTATGAAGAAAAAGGGGCTGGCCCCTCAAAATAGGGGCCGAGAGTCTTAAATCAATAACTATTCAATGATCAATATTTTGTAATATATTACTGAAGCAAAATAGTTCATCTTCACACTCTTTAACTATATAACATGGTGTTTACATCATATCTTATGCAATAAGGGATAATTAGGGATCAGATTGTATAATTTTTGGCGCCATAAATCTTGAAAAGGAAGAATATATTGATAACCAATATTTAAACAAAAGATGTTCAAAATAATATTCTTAATAATATGCAATCATTCAATTTTTGCTAGACGTCCCCGTTTAGGACTTAAAGGGCAGGCCCTTAATATTTCTTTTGCATATATATCGGAAACGAAAAAGAATTTCTAATAGTTGTTGAACAAAAGTGTTCAAAATCATGAGAGCTTTAAGATGATATCAAGAAAAAAGGGGCAGATCACTCACATAAGGGGCAAAGACGGGCCGAAAGTGTTTAATCTATAACTTTTTATTGATCAATATTTTGTTACACATTACTCAAGGGAAATTGTTTGTCTTAACAATTTATTTATATAACTATTTTTTAACGAAAATCACAGTCAAATTCTTATCTCATCTTATCAAAAATTGGACGGAAGACCCACTCGTTGCTCGCAACGAGATCGCATCTAGTTAAGGTCTTCCGTCTTCACGGAAGACCTTATAGTGATTCTACTGTTTCTTATTATTATTATTATTATTATTATTATTATTCTTTTTTTTTGACAAAATTTTGTGCACGCGATTTCTCGAAAAGTATTCAGTCGTTTTCAATGAAACTTTCAGGAAAAATCAGTCATTGTATGAACTTTGTTCATCACAAGGAAAATTTGGAAAATTCCATTTTGGTTCCAAGTTACGGGCAATTTCCTGATTTTAAAATGAAATTTTGTCGCCCCTTTTTTTCAAGAATGGCTAAAGATATGAACTGGAGACTTATTGGAGAGCATAGAACGTGACTTTTAAATTTGCAGAATCGCCTTTTCGTTCGTCGTCGGCACTTCCGGTCGTTTACGGAAGTGATCAAAGAAATCGTAAAATTTCAACTTTCTTTTTTTAAATCAATACTTACATCACATTATTGCATCTCTTTTGTAGTTTCGAAATATGTTGGTCCCACCGGAAACAAAAACGTCAACTTCCGGTTATAAGAGAAAAACTACATAATTTGAGTATTTTTCTTTCCCATTAATATCCTTTGTAGATAAAGTATTTGAAATGACTTTTAAGTATGTTATTTACACTGCAAATATCTAGAGTAACCTCAAATATCTTTGTAAAATTCACTTCCGGTTGCGTGTTTTTCTGTCCTCAAAATGAGAAGTTGTCTGAGCAAGATCTCGGAAACGGTGAGAGATTAAGACACCAAACTTATTTGAGCAACAGACCTTGAGCAGTAGGCAAATCCATTTGGGTTCAGAGCGTCAGCCGTCACTTCCGGTCGTAACAGGAAGTGATAAAAGAAATCGAAAATTTCAACTTTTCTTTTTTTAATTAAAAATTGCATCACCTTATTGCATCTTTTTCTCAGATTCGAAAGATGTTGGTCCCACCGGAAATAAAACCGTCAACTTCCGGTTTTAGGAGATAAACTACGTTATTTTTATATTTAACATTCTCATAAATATTGCTTATCGATAAAGTACTTGAAATAATTTTATGTATGTTGCAGGTACTGCAAATGTCTAGAGAAAAGTCAGAGATTTTTGTAAAATTCACTTCCGGTCGCGTGTTTACCTGTCCTCAAAATTAGAATTTAGTCCCACAATATTGTTCGGCAACAGTAAACGACTGAGGACTAAAACTTTCAGGACTGATATTCAGTCATCAGTTTATTTGAATCGTGAGAAAATCTTGTATCGCCGTTACTTCCGGTCGTGACAGGAAGTGATGTAAAAAAGTGAATGGTTAATGGTTAGCACGTTGGACTTTCACGCTGACGACCAGGGTTAAATCTCCAGAGTGTCTGAATTTCTTTTATCACTTTTACAGCTTGAATTTTCGTTTTTATTTTCAGAATCGGACGGAAGACCTCTCATTGCTCGCAATGAGTTTCTAGTTAAGGTCTTCCGTCTCCAACGGAAGACCTTATTGTTTTCGTTCGGTTTCTTTTTCCCTATTATTATTATTATTCTTACCGATTTTGTGCACGCGAGTTCTCGAAAACGTCTTGGCCGATTTTCATGAAACTTTCAGATCTGATAGGTATTGATCTGAACCTTATTGGAAATTTTTTTCGTTGATGACGTCACTTCCTATCTTGAGATATTTAGGATTTTCTGATTTTTAGAGGGTCGGCTTGTCCTGGAAACTCCTCCGAAACGACTTAAGATATTGAGGCAAGATTTTCAGTGAAGGTAGGGGAAGGTTGGTAGATTTGCAGGCAGGTGTCCAAATCTCTCTAGCGCAAAAGGCGCCGAAGCTCGGTAGGGCTCAATAAACGTCTCAGAAACATCTCACAAAATTTTACA